TTTGCCTAATGCAATATGTCATTTGATTTCTTGACTGCTGCTTCCGTGAGTGTTGATAGTTGATCCAAGAAGAATGAAGTCCTTGACAACTTTAATCTTTTCTCCATTGATAAGAATGTTGTTTATTGGTCCAGTGGTGAGGATTTTGGTTTTCTTTACAATAAGATGTATTCTGATAGTATAGTGATTACGAATTGGGCTGCTAACCTCAAGCTCAGCAGTTAGAAACTACCAGCTGTTCTGCAGGAGAAAAATGAGACTTTTTGCTCCTGCAAGGATTTACAGCCTCAGAAATCCTATGTAGGGCTGCTATGAGTTGGAACCGACTCCATGGCATACCATCATCACGTATGATTAAATAACAACAACAACAACTTTGACAATATAGGCTCATATTATCCAGGCCACTAGCTGAAGTTTTTATAGTAAATATATGAATGATGATTGCAGATAATGGTGATCTACAAATCTGAACGAGTACAGTGCTTTATCCCTAAATTATGTAGATTATGTAAGGAATGCCCCAAAAGAAGAGAAGTCAGATGAAAAGGAATATTAGTTGGTTGGTTGGGTACTCATCTGGCTGGAGTTTCACTCCTCCTGTGCCCCCTACTTCTCAGCCCACTTTTTTATCACCAAACGAGAAAGGACAGAAGTAAAATCTTAGGTGGGCTCTAAATGGATCTGGGAAGAAGCCATTACTGAGAAAACAAGTATGCAAACCCTTCCTGGCCTCTGGAGAGTTCTCAGAAGGGACAAAGGACTGACAGGAAGGAAACGTGGCCCAGGGGTGCAGGAGGATTCACTTCCTGGGGACTGGAGCAGTCAGAGCCATGATGCTGTGGGCAGTCTGTAGGAGTTAGCAGTTAGGTAAAATTGCCTACATTTAAGCCTGTGGGGAAGCACCAGCCCCAGTAAGTGGCTTAAGGCACTGTGGCCATAAATGCAACATAAATTCATATCCACTTCTACAGGTTCCTGCCCTTGGGTACCCAGGCAAGTTAAATTGCTTACTCAGTTTCCCTTATCTTCTCCTGGGCTCCTTCTCCAAAATACTGCTGCTCCTCAATGAAATTCCCATGATGAAAATCAAATTCACTGTCATCTAGTCCATTCCAACTCACAGTGATGAGACACAATAGAACTGCCCCATTAATTTTCCAAGGCTTTAAATTTTTATGGAAATAAGAATATTTCTCTCTCAGAGTTACTGGTGGACTCAAACCACTGACTTTTTGGTTAGTAGTTTTGCATTTTAACCATTGTGCAACCACGGCTCCTTTCAATGAGACTAACACCTCCTAATATTAAGAAAGCCAGGACTCCTATTAATGAGTTGCTGCTGTTGCTATTGTTAAGTGCTGTAGTATGGGCTCAGACTTACAACAACCCTGTACAAGGTTTCTGAGGAATGACTGGTGGGTTTGAACCACAGTCCAGTGCTAATCCTATAGCACCACACTAAAAATATAAGGCCGACTTGGTAACATTGGTCCAAACTTGGTGACATTGTCTCCTTGAACAGATCAAAGTAACTGTCTAGTTACTACTACTGCAAAGTAACTGTCTAGTTTCCCTGCCTAGTCCTACTGCAGGGAAAGCTTGGAAGAGAAGCTGTGTCCTAAAGGAAACTAGTACAATTGCTAGGAGATGGAATGGACACTGGGCACTGAAACAAAACGAAAACAAGAAAATAGCCCCAAACAATAAATCAAAAACAAATAAAACTGGTTGCCATCCTACTTTTTGGTGAGCAGGTGAGTGCTTAATCATTTGTTCCACCCCGGAGCGCCACAAGAGTTTGGGAGAAGTATTGTTATTAGTTGAGGGAGTAAAGCTGGGTACTATGATAAATAGACCTTGTCTGGAATCACAATGTTTAAACACAATACTAGAAAGGTATTTCTCTCACATAAATCCAATCGGCTGTTCAGTGATCAGGTTTCCATACGAGGAGTTGGCAGTCACGGTGCTTTCCATCTGTGGCCACTTGATCCCCTTGCACCTCAGGGTGTTTTTTTTAGATCCTTTGTATTTATTTGCCTAACAAGCAGGGAGGAAATAGTGCATAGAGATTCAAGTCTTGGGAAAAAAAAGTTTTTATTGACCTGGCATAGAGGTGATACACATCATATTTAAAAAAAAATAATCCATTGTCCAGAGTTCACCCATATAGTTCATCTAACTATAAGAGAATAGCTAAGACTCCACCACTAAGATTGAAACTCAAAGGGAACACATGAGCAAGCATGTAAACTTGCTGATGACCACACTGGTCTACAGGCGAGTGCAAGAGGGGGAAAGATAGCAACAAAGAAATGGGCTGAGTTCAACCACGTTCCACAGACTCCTGTTGATCTGGAGATGAGAGAGAGAAGAGGAAGGGCTGGTTGGTCCAAAGTATGGTGAGACCTGGGCACATGAGCCCATGGACAAGGACACAGGCACGGAAGGCTAGAGCTGAGAGTGAAGCACCCAGCTGATATGAAGTGAAAGGAGGCACACTAGAACACCCAAAGTTGCAGAGAGTACCTACTTGACCTAGCCTCGATGGCTTGATAATCAGAACTCCAGTAGAGGAAGAGCCCCCCCACAAAAACAAAACAAAACAAAACAATTTTTGATAAAGGAAACGAGGGTAAATCGCTACAATTTGATGAACTTGACCTACACTCATGGAGGTAGTAACTCTAAATACCAACAGAGAGGGAAGGAGTCTTCACATCAAGTATCAAAGCTATACCCCTCTGTACACAGGGTAGATAAGGGATAGACAACTTAGACATTGGCTACTTAAAATGAGGGAGCGAATAGGCACGAAGTGACTGGCTTACAAGGTTTCCAGGGGCAGTTTATTTTAATAGTGTATAGGGGAAGAAAGAGTACTCATGGATAGTTTTCAACATGTCTAGATGGGTCTGGTTAAAAGAGATGGAGATAAGATTCTTATGATTCATTAGGGAGTAATTGTTATCGTGACTAATTGCGACTGTCACAATTGTAAAGGTAGAAGTTTTGTAACAAAAACTGGGAGTAGTCCAGAAACAGAGGACCCTAGGACTATCAAGGGAGAAGAGCACAAGCAGAATGAGAGACCTTATCCAGAAAAGCAGTGACAATAGAGATGGAGGCAGAGACAGGTCATGGAGAGGGGGAATGGCTGAGGACTCAAGATTCATGGGAAGAGAGGGACTAAGAGCCAGTGGACAGGCGGCAGATCTGTAGAACGTACCCTTTGGTGGTATAAATTATTATATATGCCTGAGTGTTTAAAGAAAGAGCTAAAGTGAATAGAGAGAAATACTGTTAACAGATGGTACATGGAGGGGATTATAATCATTGTAATGAAACAAAGTATATGATTTGTTGAATGTAAAACTGATAATCTACCCTTTAAACTTTCACTCAATCACAGTAAAAGCTTAAAAAAAAAGAAAAAAGAGAGAGAGAGAGATTAACTGAGAAATTTGCTTCAGTAGTGTGTCCAGGTGTAGGAATAAATGTTTGTTTTTTTTCCTGACCGTCTAATAGTCTCTGCCACAGAGACCAATAAATAATGATTCTTGAACTAGGTCCTGTGCCTATAGTCCCAGCTGACCCATGAACTGTGAAACTGATGTGTATACTAGATGGAATGTGCACGTGAACCATCATACAATACCCTTATGTGGAAATTAGTTTCTTGCAAGTTTGCCATATGATTGCCTCTGTCACCTTCCATCATAAATGCACCAGTGCCAACATTCTGACTCCCAAGAAACGCGGTTCCTGATGGAGGATGGGGAATGCAGGAACAGGAATCTGTGACAGTAACTAAACATATATACCTGGGAAGCCTGGACAGGTTATCCTTTTGTTTTAAGCACAACCAGTGAAATCCACTTTTATTTATCACTCAAGATAGATGACATGTCTTTATTCTCTCAGGCAAAGAGAGCAGGCTGTGGGATACACTGATGCTGTCTCCCAGTTACCACGTCACTCTCTTCTCTCAGAAGGTGTTTCACTATGAGTCTCAATAAAAGAGAGGGGCAGTGGTTTTGTTTTATTTTAAATGCTCTTCAGAGGGAAGTTAGAGAGGTAAGAACAATAAATAAATAAATACAAGCAATGGTTGTAGAAAGACGTGGAAGTTATTCGAGAGAGGAGGGGAATGGCAATATACTGAAAAGCGGGTTTCAGAACCTGGAACCATTTTCCGTGTGAAGTTTTAAGTTCCCAGGGCTGTCTTGGAGCAGTTCTTTCCAAATGTTTCCTTTATTATGTAGAATATGCAGTTTTCGTTTTGCCCAGATCTTCCAGGTCTGGCCTCCTCCAAGGGCTGGCTGTCTAAGCTCCACATCTGTTGTCTGGACTGCTATTGTTACAAAGTGCCTTCAAGTCCGTTTCGATTCATATTGACCCTACATAGGGTTTCTGAGGTGCTGCTGGTGCGTTTGAACTGCTGACCTTGTGGTTCGCAGTCCGGTGCTGATCAGTCAGCGCCTCACCAGACTGTTGTAAATCTTTACGGGAGCAGAAAGCCTCATCTTTCTCCCGCAGAACCACTGGTAGTTTCGAACTGCCGACCTTGAGGTTAGCAGCCCGATTTGTAACCACTACGCTACCAGAGCTCCTTGAAGTCTGGACTAACGTATTGTAAATCCAACCTCCTGCGTTGCTCACTTTCAGATCACACTGCTCACACTACCCGGTTGTCATGATGTGCTGTGGATTCGGTTCCGAATCAGCGAATCATAGCCACCCTGCACAGGGTTTCCAAGGCTGTAAAATCTTTACGGGAGCAGAAAGCCTCATCTTTCTCCCGCAGAACAGCTGGTAGTTTCGAACTGCTGACCTAAACGTTCGCAGCCCGATTCATAATCGCTACACTATGAGTGCACACTACCAGGTAGGTTCAATTTAAGGTCTGTCTGGCCTTTATTGGGCCGGCCGTTGACACCCTGCACCATGCAGAGCGGCCGGCAGGTGGCGCCCGGCGGCGAGTGCGTTTCCAGCGAGGTCTGAGCCAGGTGGACTGCAAGGGGCGGAGGTAATCAGGAGAGGCCAGTGGTGACCGCCGCCGTTCCCCGCCCCCTCCACGCAGCGCTAGCGACACGAGTGCCAGAAAGACGACGCGAGCGGTGGAGCCAGCTGCATTCTGAGCTCGGGCAGGCTGCTTTGCGAAGTGCCGGCGTTTTCGTCGCGCTCAGTCCGAGGACCGCCACTATGGAGGCGCAAGCACAAGGTGAGCAGACGCCGAACGCGCCGAGGGGTAGGTCCGGGGGCGAACACAAAGGATCTGTTCCTGTATCTCCTAACTTTGCTCTGGGACAGAGAGGACTGGTGCCACCTCCACACGTCCAGAACTCGGCTCCAGCCTGAGCCTTCGGGGTATTTCTGCTTCTCAAATCCAGTCTTTGCTGTGGGGCGGGGGGATAAGTACAGAAGTTACACTGAGCCGATGCCTCAGCAGGAAATGCTTGCGTAGAATGTTCAACCCTTTTCCACAGCCGGTGGATCCCCGCATCCTGCACCTCGCGGGTGTCCAAAGGACCTGTTGTGTAGGGTCGGAAATCAACGTCGATTCCCTTTCCCTCCGGGGAATGGGAGGGAGCGCAGCTGCTTTCACCCTGGCGGTGAGCTTGCGTTCCGTGGCCCCAAAGTTGGGTGGTCAGAGGGGCGCACGCGGAGGTGGTTGCTCCTCGGAAACCCTGGTCTCCGGGCAGCTAGGGACTTCCCGCGCAAGGACCGGCCTTCAGAAGCCAGATGAGCTTGATTGGCCTACCTGACCGCCTGCAGACGACACCTGTGTCCGAACTCCCCACGTTCCTAGATAGATCTCGGCTTCCTGCGAGCGATCGCAGGAGGTGGGGGTGGGAGAGCGGGGGGTGGGGGGTCCCGACCGAAGTCTGGCTACCCTGAGGCTGCTCCTAGAAGGCGCCGCAGCGGCTTTATGAAGGGTGGTCTTGCATTTTGGGGTCCCATTTGAATTATGGTTGCACGAAGGATAGTAATCAGAAGGTGGAAAAGAACAGAGGTAGGTAGATAGGGATAGAGAAACACTAAGAAGGAACCGGGACTCTAGAGTCAAGCTTGGAGGCCCACCAAGAAGGGAAGCATTGTGGAGTTGGGCCTTGGAAGCAGCTATCACCACCTTTACTTAAGACTGTAGGGAGGGCTACCTTTAATAGAAATAAATTATGTTGTCTTAAAAACAAACATAAACCCAGGGGTTTCATGACCATATGCCTTTGCGGTCTTTAGGCAGACACTGCCTCTGAATGAGAGCCGTTGGCCTAGAGCCACTCATCACCATGGTCCATGCTCTTTCCGTCATCCTGGCCACCTCTAATATTTCCTCTTTACCCAAATAGGAAACGCAAATTCAACCAAGGATGAGGGTAGTGTATCAAATTCAAAAGCTGAGGCAGGTTTGGAGGCCTCCACATTTGAGCTGAAGCAGGTAGGAACACCACTGAAGTTTTTCTAGCTGACTTGGACCTGAGAATCATTTGGAGAGCCTTACAATGTGGCCCAGGAGTCCACACCAATCTAACTGGAATCTCTGGGGCCTGGGTATATTTGAGAGCTTCCCAGGTAATTCTATTGTGCTTTGTGGGGTGAGAAAAACTTCAGTCATAGGAATCATTCATCAAAACTGTGAAGACGTTGGGAATTACAGATTGAGAAGCACTGGTTTGGTTTGTTGGTTTACTTTACTTCCAAGTTTATTTAACAAATAATCAGTGGTTTCCTTTGCCAGGGACTGTGCTAGGAAGAGCAAACAGAGGCTTGATATATACTTCATAAAATTTACAGTAGAAGAGGAGACAGACATTAATGTGAGTGGTCATCTTAGATACTACAAAAGAGGGTCACATAGTTCAGCACAAGTCCAAAGTCTGCAGTTGTTAAGAGCCATCGAGTAGGTACCGACTAACAGCGACCCTGTTACTGGATTGCCAAGGAGCAGCTGGTGAGTTTGAACTGAGTTTGAACCGCCGACCTTGAGATTCAAACTGACCTCACGGTTCAGTGCTTATCCAACAGCACCACACCAAGACTCCTTAGGTATAGTTGTTATTGTTGTTGTTAAGTGCTGTCGAGTCAATTCTGACTCATAGTGACCCTGTGTGGGATTTCCGAGGAGCGACTGGCGAGTTTGATCAACCTGTCTTGCGGTTCAAACCGTCTTTGTGATCCAATTGCTTATCCTACGGCGCCACACCATACCAGGATGACTTAGGTATAGTGGTGGTGGTGGTTATGTGTTATGGAGTTGGTTCTGACTCATAGTGACCCTATACAGGGTTTCCGAGACTGTAAATCTTTACGGGAGCAGAAAACCTCATCTTTCTCCCGTGGAACAGCTAGTAGTTTTGAACTGCTGACCTTGCGGTTCTCAGCCTGATTCATAAACACCACGCTACAACAGCTCCTTTTAGGTATAGTTGTTGTTGTTGTTGAGTGCCATCGAGTGGATTCTGATCTATAGCTACCCTGTATAGGGTTTCCAAGGAGCAGCTGGTGAGCTTGAACCGCCAACCTTGCAGTTCAAACAGCTTTGCAGTCTGGCGCATTAACCCACAGCGCCACACCAGGACTCCTTAGGCATAGTAGGAGCTCATTAAAATAGCTAAGATTCATTGTTTACTGTACCCTTTCCTCTGTTCCTAGTGCTTCAGTGTAGAAGCCCCATGCAGTTATTACTGTTTTCATTCCCATTCTACAGAAAGCAAACTGGCACAGGGAGTAATTCACTTGCTTATCCTCACAAAGATGTTGTTGTTGGTAGCACCCAACAAAGCTGGCTCTTAGTTACAGTTACCCCATATATAGCATCCAGATTGGTGGTATGCAAGAATCCATTATTGTGTATATACTGTAGTTTGGATGACTTCCAATGTCTCTACAGCTTTCTGCACTGCTTCTCTGAGAGCCTATATAAGGTCACTATGAGTTAGAACCAACTCAACAGCACTTAAGGACAGTAATATTCTAAAGTAGATTCCCCTAGACCTTTCTTCCTGATCTGTTTTAGTGTGGAAACGCCTTTGAAACCAGCCTACCACGAGTGACCCTACTGGTATTTGAAATACTGGTAGCATAGTGTTCAGCATCATAGCAGCTTGCAGACCACCACAGTATGACAAACTGATACAAGAGTAGCAAAGTTGATGCTGTATGTACCCCATCCTAACTCAAAATCTAACTTGGTCAGAGGAAAGATGAAATTTAAGCCCCTACCTGCCTTTCTGGCTGCTCCTTCCTGCTTTCCTTCCCTCCTTCATGCCTGAATGGGGTCTGAATGGGTGTAAGAGGACTACTTAAAAGACATATGAAATATTCCCAAGAGATCTGAATTTTGGGTGATATGGAAAATGAAGAGAATCAAGAGATACGAGTTGTTTTTAGGTATCGTTGAGTCGGTTCTGACTCATAGTGGCACTGTATAGGGTTTCAGAGGCAATCCAGTGCTTAGTTTACAGCACTGCCAGCTCTCCCTAAGATATACTTAGGAAGTAAAATAAAAATAACTTGGATTGGCTATGAGGAGAAGGTGTTTAGAATAATCCCAACTTCTTACTTGGACAAGCAGATGGACACCATTTGCCGCTTAAATCCTCATTTTCCCAGTATTTTAAGTTCTGCGTTTTCAGATTTCTTTCTTTTTTGTCATTGAAGCAGCAAGCTATTAAGTTATTTAAGAATAAAACTTTACACAAAATGTTTGTTGTTGCTGTTGTTGTTATGTGCCGTGGAGTCGAATCTGACTCATAATGACACAAAATGTTTAGGTTTATGTTAAAGGGAAAAATTTCCCACGTGACACATTTTTCTGGCTAAATGAATGTTTACCACTTAGATTACAAAACAGTCATGTGATTTCCAAAGGAGTGACCTTTTTTTTTATCATAAGCACAGTTTAAGTTAATTAAGAATGGATGACTTATATTTCTACCTCTTGATCTAGAGATAAGTAAAGACAAGCAAACTTAAACAGGCAACTATTTACAAATACCCCTTTGTAATTTATAGGGATCACCCAATTGCTGTAGAAATGGTTTGCACATTGAGCTCAACAAATGCAGCAACAGGTCCTAAAAATTTTCTCATAAGTAAAATTCTGCAAATATGTTCTTTGATTCTGTAAAATAATAGATTACTTCCAGAAAAACAACAAAACATTGTGGAAACGTCATAGGATGAAAACCACAAGTGGCATTGAGTGTAATGCCTCAGTGGTTGGGGCGGCTAGGGGAGGGATGTCACAGGATGTTGAAATTTTTTGGCAGACTTTTAGAATAAAAACTTGCTGGTTCTTTTAAACTAATTTTCAATATTTTATTATTTTAAGTGGAAATAACTTTGTTGGTTTTGCCTTTTCCAATGCCTCTAATGTTAAAAGGAAAAATTAAAATTCTCTCCACTTAATACTTCTATATAATTAAACTAATGACTGTTAGTTACTTATGGTTGCCAAAAACAAAAACAAAAACAAAAAAACCCCCCACAAACTTAGTGGCTAAAAACAACAGATGTGTTCTCTCACAGTTCTGGAGCCAACATTTTAAAGTCAATATCATTGGACCAAAATCAGGTGCCTTAGCAAGGCCAATCTCGCCCTCTGGAGGCTCCAGGCTCCTTGCATCCCCCAGCTTCTGGTGGCTTCCAGCCTTCCTTAGCTTATGGACTGCAAAACTGGTGTGGGGCAGCGTCTGACCTCCTCTGACTTTTCAAGGGGAAAAAAGGAAACTTGCCATCAGCATCAGCTCTTGGTTGATTCCTGGGGGGTAGATGGTCAGACATGCCTCCACACTTCAGCCTTCTTACCAATTGTGACTCCAGCCATCTCTTCCAGAGTACTTTCTGCTTCTCTGCGGGGTTCAATAATCCGTTGCAATGGCCACACACAAGTCACAGACAATACTCACCATTTTGGGGTTTATGAGGAAAATTAACAGGTTACGATTCAGAATCAGAAAATGCTCAGGATACTGTTGTTCTGGTCAGGACAGGCTGTCCTGCGATGGGCCTGAAGGCACACCTCTCTCTGGCCTTCAGCATCTAAGTCACATGGGCCCTGGGCCTCTGCCTTACTCAGGCAATGTTCCACAGCTCTTTCGGCACTGCCAGTACTTGTTCAAAAGGCACTCTTGCCTGAAAGCACTCAGGTGCAAATGGTTAAGCACTTGACTACTAGCTGAAGGTTGGTGGTTCAAATCCACTCACAGGCCTGATGGT